AAGTGCAAGTTTTCTAGTGTGCGGGTGTCTCAGCTCCAGGCAAGAAGAAAGGGCTATGTAGCACCTTGCTACAATTTCCAAGGCTTCATTCATTCCTCCCTTTTTGTTGTTTTTGTTTTCAGCATATGAGTATATTATTTTAGTATGTTATAGTGTGGTGTTTTATTGTTTGTTTTTGATTGTGTATATTCTGATATACCCCTATTTGGTGGAAAGGGAGATGATGATGATAATGATGATGATGATGATGATGATAATACCTTCAGTCTTCTGCCTCCACCCACCCCACTCCTTTTTCTTTCTTCTCCAAATGTTTGCAATAATAATAATAATAATAATAATAATAATAATAATAATAATAATTTTCCTGCAACTTGCAAAGACCCTCTGGGGGAGTCTATGGATTTACTTATGTTTTTAGCATATGAGTATATTATTTTAGTATTTTGGCATTTTATAGTATGGTGTTGTATTGTTCATTTTTGATTGTATATGATCTGATGTATTTCCCTTTGGGGTGAAAAGGGTAATAATAATAATAATAATAATAATAATAATAATAATAATAATAATAATAATAATAATAATTTTATCCCGCAACTTGCAAAGACCCTTTGGGGGAATCTACAGATTTACTTAGGCCCTGTCAGCATGGACCAAATACTGCTCTTTGGTGGAAAGGGCATTATAAATCAACATTATCATTATTACCATTACCACTATCATCATCATTATTATTATTTCCTGCAACTTGCAAAGTCCCTCTGAGGGAGGCTATGGATTTACTTATGTTTTTGGCATATCAGTAAATTATTTTAGTATTTTAGCATTTTATAGTGTGGTGTTTTATTGTTGGTTTTTGATTGCACATGTTCTGATGTACTGTCCTTTGGTGGAAAGGATATTATAAATTATTATTATTATTATTATTTCCTGCAACTTGCAAATTCTCTGGGGAAATCTATGGATTTACCTAGGCCCTGTCTGCATGGGCCAAATAAAGTGTTGGATGCCCCTTTCTGGTGCGAACAGTCCAGACAACATCCAGCTGGTTCAGCACCAAATCTGGGGTACCAGATCCTTTGCTGTTGTTGCTGTTAACTGCCCTTGAGTGAACCCCAACTCATGGTGACCCTGTGCTGTTCTTAAAAATGAAGCAAAACAAAACGAAAACACCATAGGATCTTCTGACATGGGATGGGAACGTGATGGAAAACATTTAAGGAGCCTTGTAGCATTCCGAACAACATTCTCCTTCAAAACAGGAATGGTCTGTGCTGAGTTCATGTTGACTAGCAAAGGGAACTCATTTTCCAAAACATTGTTCTTTCATATTTGCCGGCATCTTTCCACTTTCTCCTCCTGATTTCCTCCTCTGCCTCCAGAGTGAGCTGGACAAGGATGTTTTATGTTACATGTATGAATACACCGGAGAGGAATGAGCAGAGCTTGGAAAAGTTACTTCCCCCAGAAACTCCTGGCTGGCATGGTCACTGGTGGATTCTGCCAGTTGTAAGCAATTCTCCCAAATCCTGGTACTTGGTGCTTGGCTGGGTTGCCCACATACAGTGGGTCCTTGGCATCCACTGGGGTTCGGTTCCAAGTCCTCCCTTGGATGCCAAAATCCATGGATGCTCAAGCCCCATTAAATACAATGGCATGGCAAAATGGGGAACGTACCAAAGAAATGACAGTACTTGCCCATAGGGAAACCATACTTGTGCATAGAGAATCATAGGGAAATACTTGCCCATAGAGAATCACTGGGGAATACTTGCCCATAGAGAATTACAGGGAAATACTAGTATTTCCCTATGATTCCCCATGGCCAAGCATTACCCTTATGATTCCCTATGGGCAAGTATTCTCCTATGATTCCCTATGGACAAGTATTCCCCTATGATACTCTATGGGCAAGCATTCCCTTATGATTCCCTATGGGCGAATATTTTATAATACTCTATGGGCAAGTATTTCCCTATGATACTCTATGAGCAAGTATTCCATTCTCTATGGGCAAGTATTCCCCTATGATACTCTATGGACAAGTATGGCTTCCCTACGGGCAAGTACTGTCATTTGTTTCAGTACGTCCCCAAAAAATGGTGCCCTATAGACAAAATGGCAAAATCATGGTTTTGGAATTTATATAGTTTAAAAATATTTTCAAGTGTGGCTGGCTGCTTGAATCCATGGATGAAAATATGGATACAGAGGGCTGACTGTACAATGTGAAGAGAGCTGGGAAAGTAACACTGGAGGTTCTTCTCATTACTTTTTTGTTACTTTCTGTTACTTAATAAAAAATAGAATGAATGAGACAATGATATTTCACTTGTAAAACTCCTAACTAGATGTCTCCAAAATGTCTTTAAAGCCCTTTAAAAAGTAACTTTAAGAAGTAACTAGACAATGTCACTGGTTGAACTGATAAAAGTTATCACTGTTCCTCTTCCGTTATACCATTTTGGAAACCTGCTGCATTCTCATTGCCAAAAAGGTAACTAGTTACACTAACAACATTGCTTTAAATGCGGTCCTTGAATTTGCTCTCTCTTTTTCATTCATAAGATAAATGGATGAAACCTGAGCCATTCTGTACAAAATGTCTCCCAACATACAATGTCTAACAATAAAGGCCTCCTTTTTAATTTTTTTTAATTAAAATTTTATGAATGAAACAATACACAACGTTACACACTCACACAGAAAAGAGGGGGCGAAATCCAATTACTTCTTTTTGTTGTTGCTGTTGTGCGCCTTCAAGTCATTTCTTATTCTAAGGCGAACCTCATCATGGGGGTTTCTGGGGCTGAGAGGATGTGACTTGGCCAAGGTCACCCACTGGGTTTCCATGGCCAAATGGGGAATCGAACCCTGATCTGCAGAGTCCTAGTCCTATGATGAAACCACTTAAGCACACTGGCTCTCAGTACTTATACTTGGAGACAACAGTAGCAGTTTGAGTGTTTGACTATGACTCTGGAGGCCAGGGTTCGAATCCTGGCTTGGAAACCCATTAGGTGACCCTGGATGTGTCACACTCTCTCAGCCTCAGAGGACGGTAATGGAAAACTCCCTCTTGAAGAAACTTGCCAAGAAAATGATAGGTTCACTTTCAGGCTGCCATAAGTCGGAACGACTTGAAGACACACAACAGCAACATCATACAGACATCATACATTAAACATACTACTAGTAAACCCAATAAAAGACTTCCAGCTTACTTTTGTCTCAGTCATTAACTGCATTTCCTCTTATCATACAAGGCTATGCAATTTGACAAAATTGACCTTAACTTTTCAAATCCACAGACATTAAGACAGATTTAATCTAATTGCTTAGCCTTATATGATAAGATAATTTTTTAAAAAAGTAAAGGCTTGCTTGATCAGGGATCACAGTTCAGATTCCATTAGTGTATATGAAGCCTCTGCTTTTCTGACAGGTTAGGTACCGGAGAAATGTCAGAAATTGGAATCAGTTGAAAAGTGGAAGGCAGTTTTCTTTTTAGGTTGCAGATTAATTTTGGCTGGAATCTAATCGTCTGGAAGGGTCTTCAAGGTCCAACTCTCTGCTTCTGAAAGATGCGCATCCAACTTCTATTTGTTCTTGTTCTTGTGAACGTTCCACTTATTCCCAATGTATGGAGGCGAATGTATCACAGGCTTTTCTTGGCAAGTTCCTTCAGAGGGGGTTTGCCATTGTCATCTGAGGCTGAGAGAGTGTGACTTGCCCAAGGTCACGCTATTTGTTTCATGGGCAAGCAAGCCAGGAATTGAACCCTGTTCTCCAGAGTCATAGTCTTATGCTCAAACCACTACACCATGCTGGCTCTCAGTTTAAAGACCTTCAAAGAAGGAGCTTCCTTATAAAGCTTGGTTTCAAGGCTTTATGATCAAGGATTTTCAAGGATTTTGATCATGTTGATTGTCCCTCTCTGGGTGCCCTTTTTAAACACTGGTGCCCAGTGTTCACATGCCCACTACTGATGGGGTCTAACCTGGCAGTGATGGATTAAAAAATGTTTCCCTGAATGGCTTTTCTCAGCATCTGTCTCCTGCAGAGCATTGGAAAAGTTATTTGTTTGGACTACAACTCCCAGAATCCCCAAGCGTGTATGATCCCTGGATGGGTGGGCTGGGAAGTTTTTGCAGAATGGGAGATTTTAGAACTTGTAATCCAAAAGAGGTAACTTTCCCAAACTCTGATCTTCTGCCCATCCTATTCTGCCTGGTGTGTCTTTATTTAGGATCCTTTTCTCATGGCCCAATTGTCACAGGTTGACGCCACTTTAATTGCTATGACTCCATCCTACAGAATCCTGGGATTCGTAGTTTGGGGAAGCATTAGCGCTCTCAGGTGGAGAATACTACATACTTAATGAAACTACAGGTCCCAGGATTCCAGAGGACAGAGGGTGCATTTATGCAGTAGAAATAATGCAGTTTGACATCACTTTAAGAGCTGTAACGCCACCTATAGAATCCTGGGATTCATAGTTTTACAAGGTCTTTGGCCTTCTCTGCCAAAAAAGTGCTGGTGCCTCACAAAACTACCCATCCCAGGATTCTGTTAGATGGAGCCATGGGCAGTTAAAGCAATGTCAAACTGTTTTAATTCTGTAGTGTAGATGTACCCTGAGAGAACCAGCGTGGCGTAGTGGGTTGAACGCTGGACTATGACTCTGGAGAACAGGGTTTGAATCCTGGCTCAGCCATGGAACCTCACTGGGTCACCTTGGGCAAGTCACATTCTCTCAGCCTGAGATAAAGGCAAAACCTCCTCTGAAGAAACTTGCCGAGAAAACCCCGTGATGGGGTCGCCATAAGTCGGCAACGACTTGAAGCCACATAACAACTAAAAACAAAGATGCACCCAGAGTCATGGCAGTTGAAGCGGTATCCAAGTGTGATAACTGTGCAGTGTGGACGGAATGATCAAAAGCTCAGTCAATGGGTTGTCTGAAGTCCTCTTGTCCAACCTGCATGTGAGTGAAATTAGCTAGTTATTGGCAGTGATTTCTCCAGTTATCTGCCATGTTTATTAGCCATTTTTCTGCCCTTGGTCACTGCCGGTTGGTACTTGGTCCCATCCTGTGCCCATCCTTCTTCACCTTCTCTCTGCACTCTTCCATCTCCTCCATTCCTCTTTCCTCGAAACCATTCCTTTCCACTTGATCCCTGCCAACCTGAGGCTGAGGATTGGTGGGGCACTGGTTTACCAAGTTAATCATAACCTCAAAATAAACTGAAGTTTCAAAGTTCACCCAACTTGAGCAGGGTTTCAGATTGCCAAGCCAGCCTGGCCGCGGCAACAAGTCTAGGCCAGGGCAATCCCAGCAGCCTTCCATCGATCGCCCCCGGGGTCGGGTCGGATGGAGGAGTTTGAACCCCTCTTTCCCCCCCCAGGGCCAATCTGATCTGGGAGGCAAGACTGCTTTGATTCCCTTCCTTATCTCACGCTTTCGGACTATCTTATAATGTCTGCTATTGGAGATAAAAAAGCCCAATCAATTGAGTCAGAAAATGACAAGTTCTATTTCCCTCTGATAACTCTGGGCCATGCTTTTTTTTTTTATCAGTATTTTGTGTGAAGACCCATTTTGGAGCTGATCTCTGCAGATATCGCTGATATTCGCCTCTGTTCAAACTCCCTGCCTCTTATTTTCTTCCTCCTCCTTCTCCCTCCATCATCATCATCATCATCATCATCATCATCATCTCTAATTTTTATCAGAGCCTTGACTCCAGTTACAGGAGACCCCATTAGAGTAGGCCCATTTGCTGCATCCACATTGCAGAAATAATCCGGTTTGATACCGCTTTAACTGCCCTGGCTCGGTGCTATTGAATTCCAGGAATTGTCGTTTGTTACGACTAGACATACATGTCAAGGGGAAACCTTTACTTTTAAATCTTTTAAACTGCCCTGGCTCAATGCTATGGAATTCTGGGAATTGTGGTTTGTAGTGTGGCACCAGAGCTCTCTGACAGAAAAAATCAACTGTCTCAAAATCCCACAATTCCCAGAATTCCATAGCATTGAGCTAGGGCCGTTATCCTTTATTTCTGCAGTGTGGATGCAGAATCGAGTGCTGAATAATAAGTCAACAGGGACATAAACCCCATTGATCCAGTGGGTCAACACAAGTATTGGTAGGAGTTCAAGCTGTTCTTGCTGTTCTCAGTTTCACGGTCGACCAGGGCTGGAGCTTTGGACTCTGAATGATCTGAATTCTGCCCAAAAGTCTAGGAATCTGTGCAATATCCTTGGATGAGGCAGCCTGTTCTAAACTGTGTCAATTTTTCTAAAGTGTTATTGTGATCCTATCTATCTGTTCACGTAGTGGCTGGGAAAGCTGTATAGACAGCATGTGAATGTAACTGGATGCTTCTGATCAACTGATGGAGACATGCTGCCTCCGCCACTGCAGGTGATATATAGGGTGCATCTACACTGAAGAAATAATAGAGTTTGACACCACTTTAACTGCCAAGCCTCCATCATACAGAATCCTGGGATTTGTCATTTTGTGAGGCACCATCACTCTTTGGCAGAGAAGGCGAAAGACCTGGTAAAACTACAAATCCCACAATTCCATAGGATGGAGCTACAGGACCTAAAGTGGTGTCAAAATGCATTATTTCTACAGTGTACATGCACTCATAGCCATCTTAACTTGCAGCCATGGATGGTCCCTAATCTCTATGAATTTATCCAGTTCCTTTGAAAGCCTTCCAAGTGGGCGGCTATCACTACATCTTGCGGCAGTGAGTTCCACAATTTAACTAGGTTATTTTTCTTTGTCCTTCATCTCCCATTCTTCCACTTTATTGGATCCTTATATTACGTGACAGGCTTCCTATATATTTTCACAACATCATGCAAAATTTTATTTTATTCTATACCTGTGTCATGTCTCTAACCTACTGAAATACCCTAAAGGCATTGGATCCCATCTGATCTCGGAAGCTAAGCAGGATCTGTCCTGGTTAGTACTTGGATGGGAGACCAATGAATCCCAGGTGCTGGAGGCTATATTTCAAAGGAAGGCAATGGCAAAACCACCTCTTGAGTATTCCTTGCTTTAAAATACCTTATGAAATTCATCGGGTCACCATAAGTCGACAGGCAACTTGAAGGCACATTACACACATGCATCAAGTCTCACCTTCCTTCCCTCTTATATTCGTATCTTTAAGACAGAACCTTGACCCTTACATTCCAAGGATTTTTGAAAAAATCTATATAGGTTGAATAAAAGTTCATGAGCAAGCATGAGAAAGGGACTTTCTTGGAAATGTTTTTTCCTCCTATCCCAGGAAGTCAACAGGATGTGAACTTTTTGCATCGATTCTTCAAGGATGGCTCCTAAAACATGACTGTGGAAGAACAACTCCGCAGGCAAACTGTCAGAAAAGGAGCCAGCATGGTTTGGTACTTTTGAGTGTTTGGCATCTGGTTGCAGCTTTAGAGGAAGGCAATGACAAAAAGACACCCTGAAGGATCTCCACTTTCCATAGGTCATCCCCAGGTGGGAGAGGAGGGTGCAAATTCTCTATGATTCAACTGTTTTAAGAGCTGTTCTCTTTTTAAAATTGCATTTTATTCTTTTGATTTGTTTTACTGTAATAGTATTTTAATTCTGTATGTTTTAAATTTTATTGTTCTTTTAAATTATGAGCTGCCCTGAATCCCAATTTGCGGAGAACTGGGATGATATCATCATCATCTTCATCTTCATCATCATCATCATCATCATCTTCATGATGCCAGTGTGGCGTTGGACTACCACATTAGACACCAGGGTTTGAATCCCTGCTCAGGCATGGAAACTCACTGGGTGACCTTGGCCAAGTCACAATCTCTCAGCCTCAAGGCAAGGCCAAGACAAGCCCCTGCTGAACAAATCTTGCCAAGAAAGCTCCGTGATAGGTTTGCCTTAGGGTTGCCATAAGTCAGAAAATGACTTGAAGGCATGCACCAACTACTACTACTACAACAAATCATAGTAAGTTTTTGCTCTACTAGTTGAGCTGGAGATTTGCACACAGCTCTTCTCCTCTTTCCCAGAGCTGTGTCTCCCAAAAGTGGAGAATTTGCACCCCATTGCCTAACTGCAGATGACCTATGGAAACCTATGGAGATCAGACCTTGAGATTTGGCAGCTCTATGCAACTCTCTTTTGCCGTTTCATTTTAAAACTAAATGGCCCCAGAAGCCACATGCAAACTACATGATTCCTGCCTCTGCTGCAATTGCAATGTCCTGCATTGAGCAAAGATGTGGACTAAATAGGTCCCCTTCCAGCTTTAAAGGTTGATGCTTCTGTAGAGGAGCATCTAACATACCTTGATCTGGGAGCAACAGGCCTGAATATGTCAACTATTCCTGATAAGACCATCAAAAGACAGATCCTGGCTGAATGTCATTCTGTTTGTTTTACGTACAAAGGCTGGAGATCCTTCAAGAAGGATCACTATCAAAGAGGTCTGTTTTGGAACCCTGTCCACTCCTTCATTTGTGGTCCTGGGTGGGGATGTGTGTGACACTGTGGTGTGCCTTCAAGTCGTTCATGGCAAACCTAAGGTGACCTATCATGGGACTTTCTTGGCAAGATACGTTTGTGTGTGTGTGTGTGTGTGCCAGTGCCATCCTCTGAGGCTGAGAGATTGTGACTTGTCCATGGTCACTCAGTGGGTTCACATGCCCAAGCTGGGATTCAAACCCTGGTCTCCCAAGTTACAGTCCAATGCTCCACTGGCTCTCCATGTGTGACATTAAAAGGCCATATTTTGGGTGTCCCATTGGGTACTCTTTGTTAAATTTCAA